CACCCACCTTGGCCGCCTCACCAGACATACCCACGACGACCCCGTCCACCAGAAGACTTCAACTTGATACCTCATCCACCCAGAGTTTTCTACCCTAACTCACGTCATCATGGCTGCCACCTTTTTTTTGAAACAAGACTCTTACATGACCCTGCCCAGTGATGCCTCCATGGACATCTATCCAAACAACACCGTCAATGCGTATGAAATCAAGTTGCCTTATTCTCTGCATCTGGATCGCCAACAGTGGGAGGTAGGCGTCAGCGAAATTCACTTTCCGATGACATGGTACAACGTCGCCCCACCCTTTGACTGGTTTGCGCTGAACCTCTCACTGAAAAAAGACACCCATGTGTATGAAACTGCATCGCCCACTGTACCCCAGACACAGCATGGTGTCGTCCATTATGAAAGCAAGAAGATTCCTATCGAGAAAGGAGTCTATTCATCTGAAGATTTGGTGAAAACCCTCAACTGTTTGATTCAGAAGCATATTACGGGTGTCTTGAAAGAACAGTCCTCAGACAAAATCCAAAGTGATGGCAGACGATTTGACATTGATGTCAAGTATCCTAAGATAGTCTTCGATTTGACATGCTTGAAGATGGAAAGGTGCGATTCCAAGCCCCTCTAGTCTATGCCACAGTACTCTATGCAACAGATGTGATCTTACCAAGTCCACTCTCAAGAATGCTTGGACTTGTTCAACTACCGATCCTCGATGATGAGGAATACAAAAGCTACACAGAGACTGCTGTTCCCTTGAGTGTATTATTCCAGCGCCAAGTGGGGGCTCAACCCATGACAGTGGGGGGAAGTGAATTTAAACAAATCACTGGTGATACAAAAGCAAATCGCCTGTCAGGATTTGATACCGTGTACATTTACACCAACCTGGTCGAAGATCAAATTGTGGGCAATACGATGCCCCCCCCTTGCTGATCCATGTGCATGTGTCAAAGAAGATGATGCAAGACAGTGTGGTGATTAAAAGCCCTCAGCACATTCGCTACCTCGGACTGCGTCATGGTTCCTTTGACGGTATTAAACTCTATATCATGGACGACACAGGGAGACCCGTGCCATTTCAAATGGGGAAAGCCATCGTGCCACTTCACTTCAGACGCCGCTACTAACGCAGAAAGCAACATGTTGGGACACGCATTGGCACACCAGTTTTATCGAGGACAGTTCGGCCAGCGTGGGAGTGGTATCAAAGTATACAAAGGACGATATCATCAACGTGGCAGTGGCCTGGGAGGTATCTTGAAGATGGCGTTGCCTTTCCTTAAATATGCCGGAACATCAGTGCTCAAGATGGGTAAAAAGATCCTGCCTGGGTTGGTGAGTGATGTGGTTGGAGGCAAACGCAAATGGTCAGAGAGTCTGAAACATCGTGGCACAGCAGCCCTGATGGATGTCTTGGAGGAACGTGAGGAGCCGAGACCCCCTAAAAGCCGTAAAGTCGTCCCAACCACCACCACCACCCACCAGAAACAACGTAAAAGGAAAAGAAAAATGGTTTAAAGGTCAGTCTTCATCAGACTTTCAACCTGACCAGACGTCCTTCAAGGCAGAGAAAAGGGAGAAACATCCATCATCATGATGCGCCGAGATGCTTGCGAATGTTCAAAGGCCCAGTTGGATCTCTTTACTGTACCCCCTGTGTCCACCTCTGTGCAAGAGGGTCAGTAGATTCGCTATAGTCCCTTGGCACCACCCTCTGTAGCAGGACCACTCCAGTTTAACATTTCCAATCCCGTGAACGCTTAAATTCATTTGAAACAGTGCTACCTGAGAGTATGTCTACGTCTGATGAAAGATGATGGCACAGATACCGTTCTAGCAGATAACCCCGTATCGACAGTCAACAATGTGATGCATTCCCTGTTTCGCGAAGTGCGGCTGCAAGTGGGACACAATCAGTTGGAGATCACACCCTCCATGGGCACTTACCCTTACAGAGCCTACTTGGAAACCCTTTTGAGTTATGGTACAGGAGCCAAAACATCTCACCTTCGATGTCCTGGATGGTTCACCGACGATGCTGGTAAAATGAACGTCTTCAATCCTGATGCAGATGCAAACACAAGAAACACAGGTGTCAGAACGCGACGCGATCTTATCGTACCCACCAAAGAAGTGGAACTTACAGGCCGACTACACTGTGACCTGTTTCTTCAAGACCGTTATCTGCTGGATGGTGTCCCTATGAAACTGGAATTGCTACGAAGTCCCGATGAGTTCTTCATGTGTGCTGCTGATGGTGTCTACAAACTAGCGCTGACCAAAGCCGAATTCTATGTCCGTCAGCTCAACATCGATCCTGCTGTCCGAGAAACACATGTGTCCAGTCTGAACGCTGGGGTGACTGCCAAGTATCCCCTTTCACGTGTGCATGTGACTGCCCATGACATCCCGAGAGGCGGTAGGGACTTTCACAAGGATCACCTCATCGGTGGCCAATTACCAAAACGCTTGGTCCTGGGACTCGTGGACAATAGTGCCTACGTAGGAAGCAAAGAGAAGAATCCTTCAAACTTCAAACACAATCATGTCACCATGATGAAGCTCAAAGTCAACGGCCAGGAAGTCCATGGCACGGAAATGAAAAGCGTCTTCAGCAACAACAGCGCCCATTTGAAACAAGTCTAAATGAATCTGTTCCGAAATGGTTTACACCTTGTGGGTGGTGGATCTCATCCCAGACCTTGGCGCTGATGAAGGCATCAACTACCCTCGACACACTGGCAAGTTGGGTTTTAAAATCCAGTTTGGACAAGCTCTTGAGGACCCAGTCACCCTCATCTGCTATGAGGAATACGAAAATGTTCTGGAAATAGATTGTTTCCGGAATGCGATGATGGTATAAAAAGAGCAGCGACGGACGGTCATCCCACACTTTTTCTCCTCCTACAAGGAACCATGGATGAACCACTCGTGTTGAGCACCTTGGATTTATAAGCCCTCGTGGCTGATGACGAACCACTTCATGCCATCTACCGGGGCACCCTGGCCAGAGATGACTTTGCCAGACTGGGATGGCAACAGGATGACCCCTTTTACCCCAAAGCCTACGTGATCAACACAGATTTAAGCGATCAACCTGGCACACACTGGGTGAGCATCTATCGTCCAGCTCCTGGATCCGTGGAAATGATGGATAGCTATGGACTGTATTCATTACCCCTGTTTAAAGAGACTTTGAATTGCATTGGTCAGATTCAACAACGATGGAATACACGCCCCTTACAACATGAATACAGCACGTTGTGTGGGGTGTACTGTCTCTACATGCTGACCTATCGCGTGCGTGGGTGGACTTTTAATCAAGTGTTAGATACGTTGGACTGGAAGGACACCGCCAAGAATGATGCCACGGTATTAGCATGGTTTCATACCAAAGTGTCTACCTCCGTTCCTGTGGATGAGATGCCTGCCTTTCGACTGAGTGCCCAGACGCGTACCCTACATCAAAAGAACCAACCTTTCTGCCCTTATTGACCTGACACTTGTTCACTGAAGCTACGATCACCTGACTGTCAACATTCCTGATTGAGGAGTGTACATACGTTCACATGCGTTTTGGGAATGTACATACGTTCACTATCAAAGTGGCAAAAGTTCTTTTTTTCAAACTGTACATACGTTCACATATGTGTACATACGTTCATGTTCACAAAAGTCACAGGGACGCCCCTAATCCTGTGACTTTTGTTTTGTTGTGTTGGTTCATGTGAGCGGGGGATTAAAAAAATTTGAACCCATAGTCGTGTTGTGTTGTCTGTAGGATGAAGAAAAGCAAAACAGGATCGCCATCTCACCCAAAAGACAACTATCCTCCTTTGCTTTGACGACCCTCCAACCCCCCACACCGTGAACCCAGCCCCGCCTCCTCCCTCCCTCCCTCCCTCCCTTCACCACCACCACCACCCCCACGTCTATGTGTAGAACAACAACAACAACAACAACAACAACAATAGATTTTTGACGCGCTTCTTTCAATGTCGATCCTGTTCACCTTTTACGTGCGCTTCTCCGGGTTTTCCCCTCCTCCCCGGAAACGGAGGTGCCGCCATCTTGAAGGCGTACGCCACCGGAAACGGATGAACCGCCATCTTGAATGCGCACGCCACGGGAAACGGATGCGAAGCCATCTTGGATGCGCACGCCACCGGAAACGGATGCGACGCCATCTTGGATGCGCACGCCACCGGAAACGGATGTGTCGCCATCTTGAAGGCGTACGCCACCGGAAACGGATGAACCGCCATCTTGAATACGCACGCCACCGGAAACGGATGAACCGCCATCTTGAATGCGCACGCCACCGGAAGCGGATGCGACGCCATCTTGGATGCGCACGCCACTGGAAACGGTTGTGCCGCCATCTTGAATGCGTACGCCACCGGAAACGGATGCGACGCCATCTTGGATGCGCGCGCCACCGGGAACGGATGTGCCGCCATCTTGGATGTGCACGCAAGTCCCATCATGCCCCGCTCGCATGCGCAGGTCACGTGACCGGAAGTGACGTCACAGAGGTCACGTGATCCTCTCGACCAATCAGAAGCCAGGAGCGGTCCCAGACCGATGCCTACAACTACTAAGATCTCTATTGTAATGAAACGGTTCTTATTTTGCGAAGTGCATCAAATCACGTGAGCACCTGGGTCAAAAACATTAAACCATTTAGAAAAGTTCTGTTGATGGCATGTTGACGGTTCACATGCTTTGCAAATCCTTCAATCGACCGAAATCTGGACGGCAGTTTATGAACCGGATGTCGAGTTAGTTACGTGATTTTGATAGGACTATGCACACACTCGTTAGTCCAGCCATTTCACAACTCCACAATTCCAGCCTAGTTCGGTAAGGGTGGAAACTGGACTTATATAGTCCATTAACTGCCTTGCCTCGGGAAGATATATGTGACCCGTGACCCCTTTACTGAGTATACACTCAGGCACAATTCCACTAACTCTATGCTGTTTTTTCAGATTTCCCAACTGAAGGCTGTGTTCATCTGCTGAAGATAGGTGTAGCAGACAGACGCATGGTCCTGCATTGTGAGTACCTAAACTGAAGATCAAACGAAAGTTTACACTGGAAAATTTTGAATAACCAAAATATGAATGCAGTCAAATGTTTGTAACATGATGTAAACAATTGCCACAAACGCAGCACACTCGCTTCCAATGAACCAAAACCATGCAGCCGTCGACAAAAAACAGGTTTTTCGGTTCTGCATGGAGTGTCCGTGCAGGTACCTGTATAAAAGTCGACCGAAAGTGACACACAATCACATGAACCATAAACACACCGAACAAATGGCACGTTTAAATGCAGAACACAGAGAGAGGCCCATTGGTGTGGCCACGGTGGGAACTCCACAAGGTCACATTGCCAGTACACTCGGTTGTTCACGTCAGACCATCAGCAAACTGATCAGATGGCAATGTGTCTTGCTCACCGATGACAGCAGGTTCAACCATTCCATGCAGACGGGAGGGTCCGTATCTATCGCCGTTGGGGGAAGGGCTGGCTCATGGCTCTATACAAGATGTCCATCCCCATGAAGGTCGTGGTCTCATAGTGTGGGGCGGAATGTGTGACGACCAGAAGACACCAATCGTTGCTATCCATGGCAACCTCATTACACAATGGTACGTTGACGAAGTCCTGACACGAGTAGCGGAGGGTGTCCTGCTGCAACAGGACAACGCCCGACCACACACCGCCCGGTTCACGCAGGATTTTCTAAACAAGGTCAACGTGCCTGTACTGAGTGAGTGAGAGTTTGATTTTACGCCGCTTTTAGCAATATTCCAGCAATATCACGGCGGGGACACCAGAACTGGGCTTTATTGTATTATACCCATGTCGGGAATCGAACCCGCGTCTTCGGCGTGACGAGCGAACGCTTTAACCACTAGGCTAGCCGACCGCCCCGTGCCTGTACTGCCTTGGACCGCACGTTCTCCCATCACGCACTTGTGGGATCATCTAGGTAAAGAGCTGAGGAGACGACCCAACCATCCAAACAACTTACAGAAACACATTCCGGCCATCGTCATCAGACGTTTGACGTCATCCATGAGACATTGAGGCGTCCATCCTCGCCAGGGGAGGTCATACGCGATATTGATGACGTCGCCCCAATGCCATCTTAGTGTCCGCTGATGTTTCCATCCACTTATAGGCCACAACCTTTGTCACGAACTTTGTGAAAACTGACTTTTGGTACCCCCAGTCATTGGTGTTCAGCTGATTGTATGCGTTTGATATTTTGCATAATTGACCCGAGGTGAATTGAATACACAGAATCTATTGCATCAACATCTTTGGGTCTTTGCTTTCATTTTACAGTTGATCAAATTCAATGTCAACTTTCTGTTGATCCTCAGTTTACATCATCCATTAAGTGGATATATACCCACACATTCAGTTTACTGAATCACTGTACAGGCACAAGTTACCAAGGATACATCGTCGCAGACATCATTGAGGAACTGGCATTGCTGTCATTATCACAAACACCATTGCCATATATTTAGAAATACATCTTCCCTTAAGGAAAAAGTGGAACAGACACCTTATAATTAGAGACAAGTGAAACATTAGAGTTGTATGATATAAGTCCATGTATATTTTGTTTTAAACTTGGGTAGACAAATCTCACACCCAAATAATTCAAAAGGGCCTCAGTTCAGACCTTGCTTAAAATCGTTCAATGGACTCTGCTTTTATGATTATGGAAAAGGGTTTGTCACTTTTATTTACATTCTTTCATTGATTTCTTACAGCAAATCCTCTCTCGTGACTGCTTAATATTATACCACTAAAAACAAACAGGGCCCCGAAATCATTCAAACCAGCCATTATTAGTCTTTTAAATGTTTACCTGTTTAATACTTTTTTACAGTTTGCATATCCTGTTATTATCTATTTTATTTAAGTTTACTATTGCTGTGATATAAATACATATACTTAAATATACCAATCCTTGTCGTCACATTGATAGTGTTTAATTTTCTACATGTTTCTTCTCGTGGTTATATTAGTGTCTTATTTCCTTATTAGTATTCTAATATCATATATTTTCTTTTTTGCATATTCAGTGCTAATCAACTGTGCAATATCAATTTCCATTGGGATAATAAAGTCTAAACCTATCTTATCTTATAATATTCTGGAAAACTTAAGTTGTTTCTGATTTGTTGACAAATACAAGCAGTTAGACATTGTCTTGTCATATGAGGGTTCGAATACCAAATAAGGATCAATGTTTTCAGAAGGGGTAAAGCTGGTATGAGGAAGATATGTAATTTTTTTAAATCTGTTAATCATATATTTTCATAGAAGACCCGGGGGTCTCATCAGTAAATATAAAACCTTGCTCCATGCAGTTTTTCCTGAAAATAGAGGATAGTGTGATGTCACAGAGGTTTATTAACCCACGCCACGAAGTGGGGTGGGGGATATTGGAAAGGAGGCCGTCCGTCCGTCCGTCCGCCCGCTTCTCAAATGGGATGCATTTTCTCAAAAACCATTTAAGACAGAGAAATGAAATTTACACACTTATTTTACTGGTCATGACCTCAGATGGGTTCGAAAATTGGTGTCGTAAATTCATTTTTTACGGAGTTATGGCCCTTGCTCCATGCTTTTCAACTTTGTGCATACTGCGTGAATTAGGACACATTTTCTCAGAAACAACAGACCTTATATAAATGAAACTTTGCAAAAATATCTTAGAGATACATGTCAAGACTGAGTTCGAAAATTTGACTCCTCATTAATATTGTTAGAGAGTCATGGCCCGTGCTCAGTGCTTTTCAGCTTAGTGCATACTGTGTGGAATTGGGACAAGATTTCACAGAGCTTCTGAAGTCACTCGAATGAAAGTTTGCAGTCTTATTTATCTAAAGGATACTTGTCAAGACTGAGGTCGACATCGATCCCATCAATTATCTGTTTACAGACTTATGGCCCTTGATCCAGGTTATTTTACTTGGTGCACAGTGTGTGCTTATTTGTTGCTTAACGCCGCACTCAACAATAATCCAGCTATATGACGGCAGTCTGTAAAGAATCTAGTCTGGATCAGACAATCCAGTGATTGACATCATGAGCATCGATCCACACATGCATCAACCAAGACAGCGAGCCTGAAACACCAATCTCGTTAGTTGGGTCCAAAGATATACTTATCAAGACCGAGTTATTTTTTCTAGAGATGGGGCCTTTTGTGTGTATTAATTTCACATGTAAATAATTTTTCTGATGACATAAAGCGGCCTTAGTGACGGTCTCTTCTTAAGGCTTCATGTGACTTTTTTATTCTTAATATTTACTACTGTATGAACAAACCAAATTATATTGTGCCCTATGGCTGGGGAGTGATTTTAGTGTAGAGGTGGTCTTCCTCATAATTAACAGAATGTCCCTTGTTTATTGTGTTATGGTTTGTGTCCTGTACTGATAATGCTGCCTGCCTACTATCTCCCAGCGTCAACCCGCCGAGACACGTGGGTACAAAAGCCCCGACATTGCGACACCAGGTCACGTGACACTGTGATCTTATCATTGTTTGACATGCAATCTACATGTCCCTCATTATACCGCGTTGACTTGTATACGCCTGTGATTGCGATTATTCGCCCTCTGAATGTTTATCCCTGTGTTTTAATTATTCATCACGATATGGCTGAAATATTGCCGATGTGACTTTAAATTAACTCACTTAGTTATTCAAAATCTCAACTGCACTTTTTCAGATTTATATGAAGTCTGATCACTGAATGTTACTGTTTTGTGTCTACCACTCTGATTCAGTTGATAACTTACGAACCATTCACTGATTCGGGGAGGGATAGGTCTTGAGCAACCCATGCTTGCCGTAAAAGGTGACTAAGCATGTCGTAAGAGGCGACATACGGGATCGGGTGGTCAGGCTCGCTGACTTGATTGATGCATGTCATCGAATCGCAATTTCGTGGATTGATGCTCATGATATCAATCAGTGGATTGTCTGGCCCTGAATCAATTTTTTTTAGACCACCGTCATATAACTGTAATATTGCGGAGTGAGACGTTAAACAATAAACTAACAAACAAACATATACCAGACCCGTTAAGAACTAAATTTACATTCGGGTTAAAGTATTATCAGTTAGTCCAATGTAAAGATAAATCATTGATCCAAATGTTATACACATTATTTTATATTTTCGTACAACTGCAATGTGATTATATTAAGCTATTTATATATCAGGACAGCGTACTTAGCTGTCAATTCCAGGCATGAAAATATCATTATAGACCGAAACTGTCACTATATTTTTGTCTCATGTTTATTCTTAAGTAAACTACATTCATATTTTGTAGGTTTACGCCTGAAGTATGACAAAGACAGAGCCAATCTTCAAAAAGTCCACATCAACACAGAAGGACACCTGATCAACAGGAAGTCGGGCATCAGACCTGCAGTGAAGGGGAGACTGATGGAGTACAGTGGCACATGTAGCACTGTCCCCCTCCCCCGGGCTGGCTGTCCCCAGTACTGGGAGATGAAATCTCGGGTCTGCCTGGATAAAACACTCCCAGAGGACTTGCTCATTCTGGAGGTTGGTGTGTGCCAGGAGGAGCGGAGGGACGTGTGTCATTGTATCGGTGGACGTCCCGCCTCCTACAGCATGTCCGTCGTCCACTGTACTACACACGGCGGGATATGCAGGACGACATGGATGGGGATGACGTATTTTGTGGGGATGTATCTACCTTGTCTGCCTGACACTCTCCCCAATTCAGCAGGGGCATCACACACACTACATTACGGTGTCGCCTATGATGACGCCAGGGAGAAGATTGTCTTCATTGATGTGAAGGAGAATAAAGTGATATCAACGATAGACATTGTAGACTCTAGTCAGCCACTGTGGCCGATGTTCGGGGTGTATAACCCAGGCGACGTCACTGTCAGCATGACACTTGTAGTGGGCAGCGACATCAACATGACAGAGGAGAAGAAAGCAATGATTGTCAAGGCACTGTTGTGATGGTGACAATGATTGTCAAGGCACTGTCATGATGGTGACAATGATTGTCAAGGCACTGTTGTGATGGTGGCAATGGTTGTCAAGGCACTGTCGTGATGGTGACAATAATTGTCAAGGCACTGTTGTGATGGTGGCAATGATTGTCAAGGCACTGTTGTGATGGTGGCAATGATTGGCAAGGCACTGTCGTGATGGTGACAATGACTGTCAAGGCACTGTTGTGATGGTGGCAATGATTGTCAAGGCACTGTCGTGATGGTGGCAATGATTGTCAAGGCACTGTTGTGATGGTGACAATGATTGTCAAGGCACTGTCGTGATGGTGACAATGATTGTCAAGGCACTGTTGTGATGGTGGCAATGATTGTCAAGGCACTGTCGTGATGGTGACAATAATTGTAAAGGCACTGTTGTGATGGTGGCAATGATTGTCAAGGCACTGTCGTGATGGTGACAATGACTGTCAAGGCACTGTTGTGATGGTGGCAATGATTGTCAAGGGTACTGTTGTGATGGTGACAATGATTGTCAAGGCACTGTCGTGATGGCGACAATGATTGTCAAGGCACTGTTGTGATGGTGGCAATGATTGTCAAGGCACTGTCGTGATGGTGACAATGATTGTCAAGGCACTGTTGTGATGATGACAATGATTGTCAAGGCACTGTCATGATGGTGACAATGATTGTCAAGGCACTGTTGTGATGGTGACAATGATTGTCAAGGCACTGTCGTGATGGTGACAATGATTGTCAAGGCACTGTCGTGATGGTGACAATGATTGTCAAGGCACTGTCGTGATGGTGATTATGAACACTTTATGAATGTCAAGGGGTTGGTTTTTTAAAGATAGTTATCAAACTGAATTAAATAAACTCAGTAAATAAAATCAGCTGGAATTATATTTGATACAAGTGATTTTTTCGAGAAGTTCTGAAAATAGTGGGGCGGTTGGGTTGCCGAGTGATTAAGGCGTTCGTTCATCAAGCCGAAGACCCGGGTTTGATTCCCCACATGGGTACAATGTGTGAAGCCCATTTCTGGTGTCTACTTCCGTGATTATTGAGGCGTAAAACCATACTCACTCATTCACTGAAAATAGTGCCCCAATCAACATTGCCGCATCATGTGTATTTAGAGCCTCTGGCGTTAATAATTTTGGACTACGGGTAATTAAATATGTTGTATTCAATGAGTGTATTTAGAAAAATATCAAATGTGTGTTTAAAGACGCCTCCAGCATTTCTTTAGGGCATTTCCCAACAACAGTGAGAGTGGGACTTTGTTTCCTTGCATTCGCTTCCATGGAGGAAATTCTTGAACATAGTTAAAGCATGTTTCAATGACTATTGATGTGTGAGCGAGTGTAGTTTTACGCCTCTTGAAACACCATTTCCGCAAAATCACGCCAGGGGACACCAGAAATTTACTTCAGACATTTTATCCATGAATGTGTGGAATCGAACCAGGGTCAGTGGTCTGACGAGTGAATGCACTTACCACTGGACCACCCCACCGCCCCTGGTTATTGTGGAAATATTGGTTAACTTTCCTGTACTGTTGTACACCTGTTTCTTATAATATTTATGTATACACAGAGATTGTATAACATGTATGCACATATATCTGACCCGTGAAGAGCCGGGGTAGAATAGGTCTTCAGCAACCCATGCTTGCCGTAAAAGACGACTACGCTTGTCGTAAGAGGCGACTGGCGGGATCGGGTGGTTAGGATCGCTGACTTGGTTGATTCATGTCATCGTATACCATCGATGCTCATGATGTCAATCAATGGATTGTCTGCCCTGATTCGATTATTTGAAAACCATATAGCTGGAATATTGCTTTGTGTGGCGTTACACAGGAAACTTCACATTTATGTCTCCGATTATCTATGATTTTGTAACAATATTATGTTGAACTTTTTTGTCTCCAAGGCAACAGGCTTGAAATGGAATTGGAGTTGGAATAACTCAAAAGTTGTTTGATATTTATTGACTTCTTGTGTAACGTTTTATAATAATTAAAACGTTGTAAACTGACGGAAGGCATAGTACGTGTTCCATGCCGAGGTAAGAAACCTTTCAGTTTTTCTCATAGAAAATTAAGATCAATTAGTTTCTACCTTTATTTTTAAGAACTGGGCTTAGATTTAAATGTTGAGTTATGACTATAGCTATCTATCCGAATGTATAACTGCTTTAGAAGGACTTGTACATAGCAAACTCGTTCGCCAATTACGCACATACATAAACCTAGTGAAGTGCCTATTACTGAATAAATTTAACCAATTCACTTCACTTTCATTTTCCACGGATTTAGACATCGTCATTAATGAATGTCAAGTTTAATTAACCTTAAGTCAACAATGACTGTTTCGCTACTTCTGCTGTGTTCCAAACATCATTGGGGGGCACGGGTGCCCAAGTCCTCTGAGGTGCCGCGATTCGCTATGCAGAGTTGCGTCCCTTGGACATGCCAGAAACCTATGATTGAATCCCTGTTCGCCCCGATTTTTCTAGGTTTGTCGGCACCATACATGTGCTCGTGGATTTCACCAAAGTGGTAAACGTCTGAGACCTGCATCACCTCGGGCTTTCCTCCCACATAAACCGGTTACGTCGTGATATAACTGGAATACTGTTTAAAACGGCGTTAAACCAAACTCATTCACTCACACTCACATCAAACATCATTATACCTATGAGCGGCTGGATGCTGATGATGTGCATCACCATCTTCCTGTGTGCAATTTATGAATATCATCACTGGATTTTTCATAGATATTAAACGTGACTGTCAAGAGAGCAATGTTTTGATATCTTTTGATTCACGTCTTGCTTCTTTGTACTTTCTATAGAGTTCATCGTCCGTATCGTAAGATTTTCCCGAGTGACATGTTCTCATTATGGGGGCGGTCGGGTAGCCTAGTGGTTAAAGCGTTCGCTCATCACGCTGAAGACCCGGGTTCGATTCCCGACATGGATACAATGTGTGAAACCCATTTCTGGTGTCCCCCGCTAGGATATTGCTGGAATATTGCTAAAAGCGGCGTAAAACAATACTCACTCACTCACTCACAACTCGCATGGTGCCCCAATACTGCATCTGGACGCCAAGGTTAGATCCTCACATCTCATATACTGCCGCCATACTGCATCTGGTCGCCACACCCTGACCTACACAACTCACATTGTTCCCCAAACCTGCATCTATTTGCAAAGCCCTTACACCACAACGCACCTATTGCCACAAAGCTGAATCTGGTTGTAATAGTCGCAGTGCTAAAATCGCTGTGTGCAAATTGACCCTGACCTCCACAACTGACAGTGTCCCGCAAGTTATAGTCGCCACACCCTGACCCCCACAACTCACAATGTTCCCCAAGCTGGAGTCGCCACACCCTGAACCCCACAACTCACAGTGTTCACCAAGTTATAGTGGCCGCACCCTGACCTCCACAACTCAGAGTGCTCCCCAAGCTGGAATCGCCGCACCCTGACCCTCCACAACTCAGTGTTCCCCTAGTTATAGTCGCCACACCCTGACCTCCACAACTCACAGTGTTCCCCAAGCTGGAGTCGCCACACCCTTACCCCCCACAACTCACAGTGTTCCCCAAGTTATGCTCGCCACACCCTGACTCCCACAACTCATAGTGTTCCCCTAGTTATAGTCGCCACATCCTGACCCCCACAACTCACAGTGTTCCCCAAGCTTGAGTCGCCACACCCTGACCCCCACAACTCACAGTGTTCCCCAAGTTATAGGCGCCACACCCTGACCTCCACAACTCAGTGTTCCCCAAGTTATAGTCGCCACATCCTGACCTCCACAACTCACAGTGTTCCGCTAGTTATAGGCGCCACACCCTGACCTCCACAACTCACAGTGTTCCCCTAGTTATAGTCGCCACACTCTGATCCCCACAACTCCACAACTCACAACTCACAGTGTTCACCAACTTATAGTCGCCACACCCTGACCCCCACAACTCAAAGTGTTCCCCAAGTTATAGTCGCCACATCCTGACCCCCATAACTCACAGTGTTCCCCAAGTTATAGGCGCCACATCCTGACCCCCATAACTCACAGTGTTCCCCAAGTTATAGGCGCCACATCCTGACCCCCGCAACTCAAAGTGTTCCCCAAGCAGGAGTCGCCACACCCTGACCCCCACAACTCACAGTGTTCCCCAAGCTGGAGTCGCCACACCCTGACCCCTGCGACCTGGGGCTTAACGTAGTCATCATCTGGGCACCTCAGTAGTCGCTGCCTCATACAGGTGAGAACACTATCCATCTGACTGAAACAAACCACGGAACATTCACTTGTTATCAGGTGCTAATTCATTCCCCTTTTTTTTCGTTCGTCATTCATCAATGTGTGAATCGTTTTTCCCTGAGGTTAAACCTCGATACCAGTGTATAAATATGATATAAGTAAGTGTTCAAAATATCGAAATTACGCTGTGTCTGTCACCTGTCCACTTTGGGATAGTGTCAAGACACACATGTCCTTACTGGCAATGTCGGGACACCTGTGTACTTACGGGCATGCCGGGACACCTTTGTACTTGAAGGCAATGTCAGGACACCTGTGTACTTACGGGCAATGTAGGGACAACTGTGTACTTAAAGGACAGTGTCGGGACACCTGTGTACAAAGTAAAGGACAGTGTCGGGACACCTGTGTACCTACTCACAGTGTTGAGAAAGGTACTCCTCCGTAAATTGTTCCCTGTATTGGAGACCCGCCCGTACGTTGCACGTCCTGAAGTCAGCCTGCATCATGTGCAACGCACACAGCACGAGGGACTCGGCGAAACCTGGGGCATTTAACACCAGTGTAGTCATCTGCTTCCCGGAAGAGGAGGTCGACGTCAGAGCGGCAGCTGTCCAACATGACGTCATGCCATGTCGTGGAGGAGATGGTGGGAAGGGATACTGTGGACAAAGGGAGACAACTTAGTAAAGTAACCAGCATCCCTGGTTTGGAGTTTGTGCAGGTGTGTAAGTAATGCAGGTCTTATATTTACTACTTTGGTGAAAACCCCGAGCAGGGAATGTGCTGGCAAACAAAGGGTCATAACTGCAGCG